TAAGTTTTGTAACGTGGGAGGAAAAGGTATGACAATAGCACAAAGAATGGAAGGGGATGGGAAGGGTATAAGAAACCTTAGGAAGGCTTATTTATTTATTTATTTATTTGACATAGTATCACTTTGTTGCCCAGGTTCTATTTATTTATTTATTTATTTATTTGACAGAGTATCGCTTTGTTGCCCAGGCTGGAGTGTGGTGGCACAATCCCTGCTCACTGCAACCTCTTCTTCCTCGGTTCAGCAATTCTGCCTCAGCTTTCCAAGTAGCAAGGATTTCAGGTATGCGCCACCACACCCAGCCAATTTTTGTATTTTTAGTAGAGGTGAAGTTTCACCATGTTAGCCAGGCTGGTCTTGAACTTGTGACCTCAGGTGATCCACCGACCTCAAGTGATCCACCTTCCTCAGCTTCCCAAAGTGCTGGGATTGCAGGGGTGAGCTACCATGCCTGGCAAAACCCCTAGTAAGGTTCTTAAGCTGTACGTGAAGTGGAATCGTCAAATTTATATCTAGAAAATTAAAACAATTTATGTTCCCATTTCAAATGTATGGGAGTGCCAATTTAACCGTATCCTTGTCCATATGTGGTATTCATTTAAAAACATTACCACCCAGATGTTTTTAAAAACTTGATTACCCTAGACATCTAATCCTCACAATGCTTGAAGGATACTTTATCTCTGTAATCTTTGAAATTCTATCAGAATCTCTTCGCTTTAAATTTGGGTAAAACATAAAATGTATACATTTATTTTTTTCCCTTTCCTTCTCTTCCTACCCCCTTTCTTCATAAGCATAGTTTTCTTCAGTAATTTCAATGGTTACTACTTCAGCTTCATTTGTTGTAGAAAGTGGACGTTTTGAAGACGCAGTCCATGTCTGTCTTATTCTCCATTGTATCATGGCTGTAGTGTACTAGATGATCGATGCTCGATAAATTTGTCAAAAAAAAAAATACTGTTTTCTTTCTGTACACAGTATGGGTAAGGTTGATCTACATATTTCTAACATTTTTTTCTTTCATCTTGTTAATCTATTTTGTCCTTTTGAGTTGTAGGATAATTCATTTACTGATTTTTTTTTGTGTTACTAATTTTTGTTTGGTTATATTTCATCTGCTACTTATTGCTTCTATTGCTGTTTTAAATTTGGCAAATCATGCTTTTCATCTCTGAAAATCTTTCCTTAGATTATTCTGATTTCATTTTTACAGATGCAAAATTCACTCATTCTTTTAAAATATTAAGCACATTGCATTTCATTATTTTTCTTCAATTTATACCAGATATTGTGAGACTGTCAAGTTTTTAAATCTCTTTTTCAGCTCTAGGGCATTTAAACTTTAATATTAGTGTGTTTAAAACTCCTTACGACTGGGAAATAAAAGAAAATGGAGTACCCATTTCTTCCTTCAATCCAGCCACCTCAACACATAATTAAAATGTGGTATTGGTGCTGGACACAGTGGCTCATGCCTGTCATCCCAGCACTTTGGGAGGCTGAGACAGGCAGATCCTGTGAGCCAGAAGTTTGAGACCAGTCTGGGTAACATGGTGAAACCCCATCTCTACAAAAAATTAGTCACACATGGTGGCCTGTGCCTGTGGCCCCAACACTTGGGAGGCTGAGGTCGGAGGATTGTTTGAGCTCAGGAGGATGAGGTTGTAGTGAGCTGTAATTGTACTCCAGCCTGGGTGACAGAGCAAGACCCTGCCCCTGCCCCCGCAAAAAAAAAAGTATCATGAAATTTTTATTAGTATAAAGTTAGGTCTAAGAGTTTTATTTGCAAAGATTACCATGTGGGAGTAATCTCTAGACAGTTTTGCCTTCCTGGCCTCTTTTGTAAGACCCCTCCAAAGGTGGAGAACTGGATCAGGAAAATAAGCAGAGCTTGAATACACACTGCGATTTTTGAGAGGACCATGAATTCAGAACTTGAAAGAACTGGAGTTACTTCTTTCCTTAATTACGCTTTGGAGTTTTGCCCTCGGGACCGAGAACTGAATGTGAGTTCCTCTTCCCTAGGAGTCCAGTCTAATCCTAGACATATGGTAATAAGCACAGTCAGTGTGACAGAAATTGGTGGTGTGAAGGTAAAGTGAAGGGACCCATAATTCATGGTAGATGTTTTCCACTGAGGGGCCAGCATGGGTTTTATGCAGAATGGAGGACATTTGAGATTTCATTTTGGGGGAATAGGAGACTGTAACCTGGAATGGATAAAAAAAATTAAAAGCAATGCTTACACTCAGGTTGGAAACCTTGAATTTGTACTGGTGCTAATTATGGATTTTTTCCTAGTAGTATTTACTGCCCCTATACAGGGGTGGAAAATGAAACTAGTGTATTTACTCAAAATAGGTGATTGGAAGGAAAATGGGACTGAGCAAAGTACTGCTTTATAATCGGCCCCAGATGTTGGGATAAGACTGCTAGAGACTCATTACTTTTCACATATAATGTGAAATTAATCATTAAAACTTTAAGTAAAAATGGAAGTTTTTGGCCAGGTGTGGTGGTTCATTTCTGTAATCCAAGCACTTTGGGAGGCAGAGGTGGGTGGATCACTTGAGGTCAGGAGTTCAAGACCAGCCTGGTTACCAACAGGGTGAAACCACATCTCTACTAAAAATACAAAAATTAGCCCAGTGTCTTGGCTGATGCTTGTAATCCCAGCTACTTGGGAGGCCAAGGTGGGAGGATCACTTGAACCCAGGAGACAGCAGTTGCAATGACACCACTGCGCTCCAGCCTGAGAGACAGAGCAAGACTTCGTCTCAAAAAAAGCAACCAACCAACCAAACATACATGGTATGTTTTAGCCCATTGTACTTACTCTTGTCCAAGCTCAAATTGTCCCTTTTATAGCCTGTAGTGCTACTTCTGCTTGGCTTTTGGGCCTTGTAACAATCCCGTTTATGCTTAGTTTCCTTGTTTTCCAGTGTGACACAATGTTCTTGGCTTATCTTGCATATTTGCTGCCCAGCTACTTTTCCAAGAAGAATGTGAATGTTTAAAACAAAAAGTTTCAGGGCCCCAGTCACACCCCAAACCAGCTTAATCAGAATCCCTGGTGAAGATAGGGCCTAGATACAAACAGGGTCCCCAGAGTGGAGTGCAGTGGTGGGATCTCAGCTCACTGCAACCTCTGCCTCCTGGGTTCAAGTGATTCTCCTGCCTCAGCCTCCTGAGTAGCTGGGACTGCAGTTGTGAGCAACCATTCTCAGCTAATTTTTGTATTTTTAGTAGAAACAGGGTTTTGCCATGTTGGCCAGGCTGGTCTCCAACTCCTGACCTCAAGTGATCCACCCACCTTGGCCTCCCGAAGTGCTGGAATTACAGGCATAAACCACCACACCCTGCCAGGATACAGTATTTTTTAAAAAGCACACCCAGCCTTGGATGGAAAACCACTTGAGGGAGAGTATGCTGCTTTATTGGGCTCTGTAAACACCTTATCTCTGCACAAGGCTGGGGCTAAAGCTCTCATTGCTACGTAGTGACCTTTCTTCCTCTCCTGCTTAAAGCTTGTTTCAGAATTTTGACCTGAATGCATCTGTGTTGAAAGCCAGGCTTGGTCAGTCACCCCAGGACTCTGTGTAGGTCCCTTTCCTTGCTTGTATGTTGAGTTGGGGCTCATCTTCGTGCCTCTGGGAAATAAATTATTTGATAGCTTGCTTAGAGTCTCTCAGTACTTTCCCTTGCCCTTAGAATGAATACTAAAATATGTGGCATGCAGTGTAGACTGTGCACAGACTTCAGTGTAGACTGCTTAAGCCCCCTCTTGGTTCCTGGAGTCTGCCATGCTTCCTTCTACCACCAGGCCTTTGCACATGCTGCTGTCTGCTGGGAATGCCTTGCCTTTCCTCATTCTTTAATTCTCCTCTACTCGTCTTTCAGGCATCAGCTTGACTGTCTTCCTTGGGGGAGCATCTCTGAACTTGGTACACCAGATCAGCACCCATGTGCTGACTTTGTCTCATTGGTAATATTTCTCTACCTTCAGGACACATATCAAGGCCCAGAAGTTGCAGTTTTGCATATGTTTGTGTGATCATTTGATGCATGTCTCTCTGGAGCCTGATTCTTTGGGGCCCACGTCCTGTCTCCACCACTTTTACCTGTGGGACCTTGAACAAATCATTTCATCTCTGGTCCCCAGTTTCTTTTAACTGCAAAACAGGGATAATATAATACTTTCACCTGCCTTGTGAGGTGGGGATGAAGATTAAATAGGGTAATTTGTGTAAAGCACTTAGAACAGAGCTAGCTATTAATAGTAGAGAATCTTGGCAGGTATTACTAATGATTACTGCAGTGGACCACAAGCTCCACACAGGCAGTGGTCATTTCTGTTTGTTTAGATTTGTATGCAGGGTGCTTGGCACATGGATGGTGCTCAGGAAATATTTGCTGGATGAATGAATGAAGTGGAGATAATAGTAATACCATGTTTATAGAATTCCATGAGGATATAAAATAATGCACATATATAAGTTCTTGGTAGCCTGTCTAACTCATAGTAGGTGGTCAATAACTATTCAATGCCTGAATGAAGAAAGTCGGGACAATAGTAATACCAGCTTAGGAGATTGTCGTAGGGATCTAAGGTAACCCTGTAGTACCTTGTAGAGTGCCTAGCACATAGTAGGTGCTCAGAAAATATTTGTTGAATGAATGAGTGAAGTGGGGATGATGGTAACACCAGCTCTTAGGGTTGCTGTGGGAATAGAGGATAAGGCAGGTCAATAGCTTGTTGTATTGTGGTTGCACCTGGTAGACACTCTGTTGAGTGAAATGAGAGGAGCTGCTATGAGTTTCTTTCTCCTGGGGCTTAGGAGAGAACCCTTTTGGGGTACAGAATGGTATGGAGCAGACACTGGTCCTCTTGAAGGAAGAATGGGCAGCTGATGACTACTTGCCAAGCTCTGACCTGAATGAAAAGTTGAATCATTCCTTTCCCTCTTCCTCCCTAACCTGTTCTTTCTTTCCACTAGAATCCTTGCCCAGAGTCCAGCACCTCCTTCCTGTCCAGGATCACCTTCTGGTGGATCACAGGGTAAGGCTGGGCTCCTGAGACCTCAGGGAGGTGGTGGGGAATGAATGAATGAATGAATGAATGACCATGCTGAGCTCCCTACTTGACTTCTGTCTGCTTCACTTTTCTGCAGAGTTGTCTTGAGTCTGCCTGTGCTGGCCATGTGGTCTCAGAGACATCAACTCTGTGCCCCACGTCCATCACCTTGAATGTGATAAACACATGAGCCATGAGCAGCTTAAATATCTGCAGAAGGCTTGGCCTGGGACAGTCATACACTGGACTGCTTTTGCTTTAGGTTCAGATTTGGGTTTTTATTTATTTATTTATTGCCTGGACATCATATTCAATCTGACAGATTTGGGTTTTTTAAATAAGTATAGTTACTATTGATATTGTTCCCCTCCCATCCCCCATTCTTTAGAAAAATAATACTGTCTCACTATAGGAAATGTTGGTTAAAAAAACACATGTGGCCGGGCGCGGTGGCTCACGCCTGTAATCCCAGCACTTTGGGAGGCCGAGGCAGGTGGATCACGAGGTCAAGAGATCGAGACCATCCTGGTCAACACGGTGAAACCCCGTCTCTACTAAAACTACAAAAAATTAGCTCGGCATGGCGGCGCGTGCCTGTAATCCCAGCTACTCAGGAGGCTGAGGCAGGAGAATTGCCTGAACCCAGGAGGCAGAGGTTGTGGTGAGCCGAGATTGCGCCATTGCAGTCCAGCCTGGGTAACAAGAGCGAAACTCCGTCTCAAAAAAAAAAAAAAAAAACAAAAAACAAAAAAACACGTGTGCAGATCAGTAGTAAGGAAACACCCAGAGGCAACCACTGTCACCATTTTAGTATGCCTCCTTCTGGTCTTTTCTTTTTGAGATGGAGTCTCACTCTGTCTCCCAGGCTGGAGTGCAACGGTGCGATTTCAGTTCACTATAACCTCCGCCTCCTGGGTTCAAGCGATTCTCCTGCTTCAGTCTCCCATGTAGCTAGGATTACAGGCGTGTGACATCATGCTTAGCTAATTTTTGTATTTTTAGTAGAGACAGGGTTTTGCCATGTTGGCCAGGCTGGTTTGAACTCCTGACCTCAGGTGATCGACCCACATCGGCCTCCCAAAGTGCTGGGATTACGGGTGTGAGCCACCATGCCCAGCCACCTTGTGGTTTTCTTTTTGTACATCTTTTTCTGCCCATTGTCAACATCTTATTGGGGATTATTTGAAGACTCTTTCTTCCACCCTAATATGCATCATCTTTTTGGGTTTTTTTGAGACAGGCTTTCGCTCTGTCGCTGAGGCTGGAGTGCCGTGGCACAATCGTAGCTCACTGCAGTCTTGATCTACCGGGTTCAGGGGATGCTCCTGCCTCAGCCTCCCGAGTAGCTGGGACTATAGGCACGCTCCACCATCCCCAACAGATTTTTGTATTTTTTGCAGGGACTGGGTTTCACTGTGTTGCCCAGGCTGGTCTCCAACTCCTAAGCTCACAAAGTCCTCCCACCTTGGCCTCCTGAAGTGCTAGGATTATAGGCATGAGCTACTGGTCCTGGCCTATGTTAGCCTTTTTTAATGTAAATTTTTTTAAAGTTGGCGGGGCATGGTGGCTCATGCCTGTAACGCCAACAGTTCGTGAGGCCAAGGTGGGAGGATTGCTTGAGCCCAGCAGCTCAAGATCAGCTTGGGCAACATAGGGAGACTCTGTCTCTACAAAAATAAAAAATAATTAGCCAGTAATAATGGCTCACACCTGAAATCCCAGCTACTCGGGAGGCTGAGGTGGGAGGATCACTCTGGGCCAGGAGCTGGATGCTACAGAGAGCTGTGATCATGCCACTGTACTCCATCCTGGGTGACACAGCGAGATCCTGTCACCAAATAATAAAGGAATGAGGCCCGAGCATGGTGGCTAATGCCTTTAATCTCAGTGTTTTGGTAGGCTGACAGGGCAGATTGCCTGAGGTCAGGAGTTTGAGACCAGCCTGGGCAACACGGTGAAACCTCGTCTCTACTAAAATACAAATAATTAGTCAGGTATGGTGGCATGTGCCGGTAGTCCCAGAGTTGGGAGGCTGAGGCAGGAGAATTGGTCGAACCCAGGAGGCAGAGGCTGCAGTGAGCCAAGAACCCGCTACGGCACTCCAACCTGGGTGACATAGCGAGACTCTATCTCAAAAAAACAAAAAAATAAAAAATGAATGAAAGAGTGAATTAGAGCCATCTTGATATTTTCCTCCTGAATCATCTTTTTTCCCCAAATCTTTTCTATGCACTCCCCAAAAAGAAAGCTATTTTTCCTTTATGACCCAACAGAATGAGCTATTATAACCTTGTAATATGTGCAAATGTCTATCCACATTCAGACATCCCCAGCTGTGTGGCTGCCTTCATTCACAGCGGGCAGTTGTGCTGGGGAAGGGCGCAGCATCGGCATGCGTGTGGAGTGAGTGAGTCCCGTCCTTCTCTTCTCATTGACTCATTGCCTAACTACCTTGTGTCTTGGCCTCAGGTTGATCGTCCGGGGCTACCACCAACCCCTGGAGAGCAGTGGCTTCTGGTCCTTAAACAAGGAGGACACGTCAGAACAAGTCATGCCTGTTTTGGTAAAGAACTGGAAGAAGAAATGCACCAAGTCTAGGAAGTAAGTGTGTTTCCTTGTGCTCTAGAATGCCCCGGTTTCCTCCTTTCTGCCCCTGTGGCCTGAATCCAGGCTGCATCCCTGGCAATGCTGCTTGTTACTAGCTTTGTGATTCTCCCTTCTCCTCCAGGCCTCAGTTTGTTTTTCTGCCAAATGGGGTAAAATCTCACAAGTCATTAAGGCAACTGAGTAGAAAAGAAGACAGAAGCTGGGCATGGTGCCTCACGTCTGTAATCCCAGCACTTTGGGAGGCCAAGGCGGGTGGATCACAAGGTCAGGAGTTTGAGTCCAGCCTGGCCAACATAGTGAAACCCCATCTCTACTAAAAATATAAAAATTAGCTGGGTGTGGTGGTGAGGGCCTGTAATCCCAGCTACTTAGGAGGCTGAGGCAGAAGAATCGCCCGATCCCAGGACGCAGAAGTTGCAGTGAGCCAAGATTGCACCACTGCACTTCAGCCTGGGAGACAAGTGAGACTGCCTCGAGAAAAGAAAAGGAGAGAGAAAAATGCTGCCAAAGCAGGCAGTTGATGTTGTTTGCCGTGGCACATGACTGTCCTTCCTTAAGTCAGTCTCACTTTTTCTGTCCCTTTCTGAGTGTCTGGCATCCTTTGTGTTCCTGCTGTTTGAAGTGTTTCTGTCCAACACACCCAGCTGACCATGTACATTTGTTTAGCCAAAGAAGCCCCATTTGCAGGTGATTTTGGCTGTACTGGATTTTAGACTCACCCTCTATGTAAGGCACCACCATGCCTGACTTATTTATTATTTTATATATGTATTTTTTTTTGGCACAGTTTTCATTCTTGTCACCCAGGCTGGAGTGCAGTGGCGCAATCTCGGCTCACCACAACCTCTGCCTCCTGGGTTCAAGCAGTTCTCTGCCTCAGCCTCCCAAGTAGCTGGGATGTGCCACCACACCTGGCTATTTTTGTATTTTGAGTAAAGACAGGGTTTCTCCATATTGGTCAGGCTGGTCTCAAACTCCCAACCTCAGGTGATCTGCCTGCCTTGGCTTCCCAAAGTACTGGTATTACAGGGGTGAGCCATGTGCCTGGCCTTTTTAATTTTTTTTTTTTTTTTTTTTAATAGAGACAGGTCTCACAATGTTGCCCAGGCTGGTCTCCAACTCTTGGCTTCCAGAGGTCCTCCTATCTCAGCCTCCCAAGTAGCTGGGATTACAGTTGCGATCCACCATACACATCTAAGTTCTGGTTTAAAACAACTCAGGCTGCCCTGGGGAAGGTGGATATTAGGGATGAGAGTGAAGGCAGATAGACCTGGGTGGGGACCTCAAGGCCTGTCCATGAAGTTCCTTCATGCCTCACTGGGAGCCTCCATTTTATTTATTTATTTTGACACAGGGTCTCACTCTTTTGTCCAGACTGGAGTGCAGTGGTGCCATCTCAGCTCACTGCAGCCCTCATCGCCTAGGTGGAGTGATCCTCCTACTTCAGCCTCCCGAGTAGCTGGGTCTATGGGCATGCGCCACCACACCTAATATTTTTTTGTAGAGATGGTATCATGCCATGTTGTCCAGGTTGTGCTTGAGCTCCTGAGCTCAAACAATCCACCTACCTTGGCCTCCAAAAGTACTGAGATTACAGGCATGAGTCTCCATTTATTACCCAGAGTATTTTCTGAAAATTCAGTGAGATAAATGCCATAATAAGCTGTGCCCTGGTCCTGAGCAAGTGCTGGGCAGGTTTTAGTTGTACAAGTTATATTTATTCATCTCTACACTTCCATCTTGCTAGGGAGGGTGTGGTGAGAACTGGCTCATTGGGCTTGAAAGCAGGCCACCTGAAAGGGGGCCGGCTCTGTGAGTACCTTGGTGTTTAGGGATGCTCAGCTTGGGGCCAGGGCATCATTTCCTAGGGACATTGACAGATGGATCGCTTGCTTTATTCCCAGAGGCATAAGCCAGATCTGGCACCTGTAGCCCCTGTGGAACTAGAGAGTGACAAGAACAACCCTGTCCTAGGCTGGAATTTCCTGGTGTGGCCCTTTACACCCAGATCCCTTTAGTTAACCGGAGAAGGGAATGCAGCCCATGCAGCTCTGGGCTGCTCAGGGACCACGTGAGGGAGGCCTGGGCTTGGAGGTCTGCATGGCTTCTTGGACCACTTTACAATCTTTCTTCACCCCTGAGTGACTTCATCTCAAAAGTCAGGTGTGCTGGGACACAGTGGCTCATGCCTATAATGAAAGCACTTTGGAAGGTGGAGGTGGGAGAATCACCTGAGGTCATGAGTTTGAGAACAGCCTGGCCAGCATGGTGAAACCCTGTCTCTACTAAAAATACAAAAATTAGCTGGGTGTGGTCACACTTGCCTGTAATCCCAGCTACCTGGGAGGCTGAGGCACAAGGAATTGCTTGAACCTGGGAAGCAGAGGTTGCAGTGAGCCAAGATCACACCACTGCACTCCAGCCTGGGGGACAGAGTGAGACTCTATCTCAAAAAAAAAAGAAAAAATGCGGGTGTGAGCAATCTCCCTGCTTCTACCTTTGGGTATGAAAACCCAGTGCTTCACTGGTTTGTGTGTAATGTTCTTTTTTGTGTATGGCCTCTTAGAGCTTAGGGCCATTTTGGATTGTGGTTTTTGCTGGAGTGACTATAAAACGCTTCTGTGAGTCTGGAAGAGTTTGGCAGTTTTGTTTGTGTGTTTTTTTGTGTGTGTTTAACTATAGATATAGTTACTATACAGCCAGCCACTCCCTTCCCAGACATCCACCCAAGAGAGCTGAGAACATATGTTTATAAAAGATTGATACAGGAATGTTCTTAGCTACTTTGTTTGTGATAACTCAAACTGGAGGTAAGCCAGACATCTATTAACAAGTGAACAGACAGATTTACCCATTATATGCATCTGCACAACTGAATTCTAAGTTATGTACAAGAATGAACCATTGGCTGGGCACAGTGGCTCATGCCTGTAATCTCAGCACTTTGGGAGGCTGAGGTGGGTGGATCACCAGAGGTCAGATTAAGACCAGCCTGGCTAACTTGGTGAAACCCCATCTCTACCAAAAATACAAAAATTAGCCATGTATGGTGGTGTGCACTTGTAATCCTAGCTACTTGGGAGGCTGAGGCACGAGAATCGCTTGAACCTGGGAGGTGAAGGTTGCAGTGAGCCGAGATTGTGCCACTGCACTCCAGCCTGGGTGACAGAGCCAGACTCTGTCTCAAAAAAAAATAAAATAAAATAAAAAATAAAAAAAAAAGGATGGTCGGGATGGCTCACACCTGTAATCCTAGCACTTTGGGAAGCCAAGGTGGGTGGATCACCTGAGCTAAGGAGTTCAAGACCAGCCTGGGCAACACAGTGAAACCCCATCTCTAAAAATACAAAAAATTAGCTGTGCAAGGCAGCTTACACCTGTAGTCCCAGCTACTCGGGAGGCTGAGGCAGGAGAATCAGTTGAGCCCGGGAGGCAGAGGCCACAGTGAACGGAGATCGTGCTACTGCACTCCAGCCTAGGCGACAGTGAGAATTTGTCTCTTTAAAAAAAAAATAAAAATGAGGCTGGGGACGGTGGCTCACGCCTGTAATCCCAACACTTTGACACTTTGGGAAGCCAAGGCGGGTGTATCACCTGAGGTTGGGGTTCAACACCAGCCTGACCAACATGGAGAAACCCCATCTCTACTAAAAATACAAAAAAATAATTTGAAGAGAAATAAAAGAGACAGGTTTCGTCAATGCACCCTGGTAAAGTTAAGGGACTAGAGTGTAAGAAGAATGTGATGTACAGGCAGAATGCAGGGGCAGTCGAGCTAGAAGTGATCTTAGGGAACACAGTCATGGAAGAGCAGCAAGATGCCATTTCTTGCTCAACTCCAGTCCTCTGGTAGCAGTCACCTGGAGGGCTGCTTGAACGTAACTCAGTGGGAAAGAATGCCATGAGTGACTGTGGGTGTCTGCTGTGCGTGTGAGAAGGAAGGGAAGGGCCCAGTATTTGACATGCTTGAGATCTAACCCCTTCCTTTTCCATATGACAAAATCTAAAGCCAGAGAGGTGAGCTAACCAGCTTTGGGGTCACACTGTGAGCTGGCAGTAGAATGTGGCAGGTGACCTGACTCTCAGAAGAACATTCCTCTAAGCCAGGGGCTGGCCAAAAATGGACTGAGGTCCACATATGGCTCATGAGCTCAGCATGGATTTCATTTTTTAATTTTTTTGAGACAGAGTCTTGCTCTGTTGCCCAGGCTGGAGTGCTGTGGTATGACCTTGGCTCAACGCGACCTCTGCCTCCCAAAAAGCTGGAATGACTGTCATGCTCCACCACGCCCAGCTAATTTTTTTGTGGGGCACAGCGTCTCACCCTTTTGCCCAATCGGGAATGCAGTGGCGTGATCTTGGCTCACTGCAACTTCCACCTTTTGGGTTCAAGTGATCCTCCTGCCTCAGCCTCCTGAGTTAGCTGTGACCACAGGTATGCACCACCATGCCCTGCTAACTTTATTTTGTTTTATTTATTTATTTTTTGAGACGGAGTTTCGCTCTTGTTACCCAGGCTGGAGTGCAATGGCGCGATCTCGGCTCACCGCAACCTCCGCCTCCTGGGTTCAGGCAATTCTCCTGCCTCAGCCTCCCGAGTAGCTGGGACTACAGGCGCACACCATCACGCCCAGCTAATTTTTTGTATTTTTAGTAGAGATGGGGTTTCACTGTGTTGGCCAGGATGGTCTCGATCTCTTGACCTTGTGATCCGCCTGCCTCGGCCTCCCAAAGTGCTGGGATTACAGGCTTGAGCCACCGTGCCCGGCCAATTTTTTTATTTTTAGTACAAACCAGGTTTTACCATGTTGGCCAGGCTGGTCTCAAACTCCTAGCCTGAAGCATCCCGTCCGAGTCCACCTCTCAAAGTGCTGAGATTACAGGTATGAGTCACAGCGCCCAGCCAGATTTCATATTTTTAACGGTGAAAAAAAAAAAACAGTATTGCATGACAGATGCTAATTCTGTAAAATTTAAATTTTAGTGCTTCTAAATGCATTTTTACAGGAACAAAGTCACACCCATCGATTTCTGTATTATCTAAGTCTGCTTTTCCACTACGCAGGAAGAGACAGGTATTTGTGACAATGACCATATGGCCTGGAATGCTGAAAGTTTCCAGAAAAAGTTTCTTACCTCTCCTTTCTTCCAGTGTCTCTTGAACTTTAATGTCCATACACACCACCTAGAGAACTAGTTACAATTCAAATTGTTTCAGTTGATCTGGGCTGAGGCCTAAAATTCTGCGCTGTTAATAAGAACCAGGTGAGGCCATGGCTGCTGGTCCACGGACCATACTTTGAGCAGTGAGGATCAACCCCAGTGTGTCTCTACATGTCAACCTGAAAATCACCAGCAGCAGTACCTGGGGGTGTGTTAGAAATGCAGATACTCAGGCACACCTAGACCTACTAAACTGAAAATCTGAGTGGGGCCCAGAAAGCTGTGTTTTGTAGTAACAAGCTATCGGCCAATACAGTGGCTCATGCCTGTAATCCCAGCACTTTGGGAGGCCGAGGCAAGGAGTTTGACACCAGCCTGGCCAATATGGTGAAACACCATCTCTACTAAAAATATATTTTAAATTAGCTGGGTGTGGTGTTGCATGCCTGTAATCCCAGCTACTCAAAGGCTAAGGTGGAAAATTCGCTTGAACCCCGGAGGTGGAGGATGCAGTGAACCAAGATCACGCTACAGTACTCCAGCCTGGGAAACAGAGTGAGACTCCATGTCAGTCAACCAACCAACCAAATATATTAAGCTATCCAGGTGATTCTGATGCAGGCTTGAATTTGAACACCATGTCTCCTGCAGGTCCAGACTCTGAGAGATTTAAGGTAAGACTAAGAAAATTCAGTGTCAGCCGGGCGCGGTGGCTTATGCTTGTAATCCCAGCACTTTGGGAGGCCAAGGCGGGTGGATCACGAGGTCAAGAGATCGAGACCATCCTGGCCAACACGGTGAAACCCCGTCTCTACTAAAACTACAAAAAATTAGCTGGGCGTGGTGGCGCGTGCCTGTAACCCCAGCTACTCAGGAGGCTGAGGCAGGAGAATTGCCTGAACCCAGGAGGCGGAGATTGCGGTGAGCCGAGATCGCGCCATTGCAGTCCAGCCTGGGTAACAAGAGCGAAACTCCGTCTCAAAAGAAAAAAAAAGAAAATTCAGTGTCAGCATGAGTATGCTTTCACAAATGCTGAAAAGGCTAGAACTTCCTTAAACATTCCACCTGCAACTCAGCTAACATAAAGCAGGTGGTAGTTTAACAGATAAGTTTCATATTTATAAAAATGTTTAATGCTGCTTCACAGAAAAATTTGTCAACCTGACCAAGAAGGAATAGTTGTAATGAGCACAACATTACAAAAAGAATGACACAGTTAATAATAAAAAGACAGAAAAGACATGGTACGTCATTTGAAGTCATCCTTCACCATTAAATGTTTTTAACTGTGCTTAAAAGGGAATTTCCATAGTCTATCTCTATATGGTCTCGTGATATGGGTCCAGCTTTGCAAAATGGTAAGTTGCACTGTCTTTTTTTTTTTTCAGATGGAGTTTCGCTCTTGTTGCCCAGGCTGTAGTGCAATGGCGTGATCTCAGCTCACTGCAACCTCTGCCTCCTGGGTTCTAGTGATTCTCCTGCCTCATCCTCCGATTACAGACATGAGCCACCACACCCGGCTAATTTTGTGTTTTTGAAGAGACGAGGTTCATCATTTTGGTCAGGTTCGTCTCGAACTCCTGACCTCAGGTGATCCACCCTTGCCTCTGCCTTCCAAAGTGCTGGGATTACAGGTGTGAGCCACTGTGTCCGGCCTGCACTGTTGTCTTTAAATTTTTCAAAGCCAGCTAGGCAGCAATAGACCTGTCACCGTACCCCAGGACAGGCACCAGAACACTCAGTGTAGCATGGATCATGATAGTAAAATACAGGGAACAACCTGTTTTTGCAGTGAATGGGAGAAAGGTAATTCCAGCAGGGCACATCCACATGCCAGACAAGCATGTATCATGAACACAAATGAAGGAAGCCAGTCATGGCAGCAGTGCATCTGCAGTCCTAGCTACTTGGTAAGCTAAAGCAGGAGGATTGCTTGAGCCCAGGAGTTCAAGGCTGTAGTGAGCTATGATCACACTGCTGTACTCCAGCCTAGGGTACAGAGTGTGACCCCATTTCAAAACCAAAACAACACCACCAAAAAATCAGAATGAACCCAGATGATATACTATTAACTACACAAAGAGAACTCCCTGTACAGTATGATCCCATTTAAATCTGTCAAAATATTTTTTTTTAAACCTATATGCTTATACATTGTCTTCTAAAAGCATGTACAAAACTGTCACTTTGGAGGAGAGGAACTGCTGGAAGAGAAGACAATATACTTCTTATATCTTTCTGTATGATTTGATTCTTTTTTTTCTTTTCCTACAGTAGATGACAAGTATTTGTTCAGCAGTTGCTGTGCATTGTTTTATGTACGTAGGATATAGCAGCCTACCTGGAGCTGACATTCTAGTGGGGAAGGGAAAGAAAAGAAAATATGTGTACTTTTAAAAATTCTTACTTTTAATTTATTATTATTATTTTTTGAAACTGGGTCTCACTCTGTTGCCCAGGCCAGAGTGCAGTGGCTCAATTTTGGCTCACTGCAACCTCTGCCTCCCAGGTTCAAAGGATTCTCATGTCTGAGTCTCCTGAGATTATAGGCATGCATCACCATGCCCAGCTAATTTTTTTTTTTTTTTTAAAGGAAAAACAGGGTTTTGCCAGGTTGGCCAGACTGGTCTGGAGCTCCTGGCCTCAAGTGATCCACCTACCTCGGACTTCCAAAGTGCTGGGATTACCGGTGTGAGCCACCACACCCAGCCCAAAATAAGTAAATTTTAGTGTGTGTTTAGACCATGCCATATCTGCGGTCTAACCACAGTTAACTAATGTGGTCCATGGGACACTTACAGTCCATACAGTACTTTGTGACCAGTTGGTGATAATATGAAGAGGCAGCACCATAATGGAGATCAACTATGGCACCAAGCATGCCATTCAGCTCAGCTCACATTTTTTTCTTTTTTTCTTACAATGCTTTCTTAATTCAGGAAGCAGAAGGCACTGGTTTCCATCCTGGCACAAATGCCTTAGCCTGCCATGTTGGCCAGGCTGGTCTTGAACTCTTGGCCTCAAGTGATCTGCCTGCTTTGGCCTCGAAAGTGCTGGGATTACAGATGTGAGCCACCGTGCCTGACTGCCACCTGCTGGTTTATAAAGGCCCCTGTGATTCACTTGCAACCAAGATTGAGAATCCCTGGTGCAGAGTGCCTTCCTGAGTCCAGGAATGATTTGCAGCGCCCACGTCCCTTCCAGGCATGTCTGTGTCTCCCTGTGGCTGTTTCTGTGAGACCCTGCATTTTCGAGTTCTGCTTTTATTTGTGTCACCTGAGCATGTTCCCACAGTCACCCTGACCATGCTGCCTGCTGCATATTGATCCCTTTTGTATCTTCCGTCCTGGGTCCTCTCCCATCTTTTCTGGGGTCAGTCCTTTCTTGTGTTACATTGTGCTGCTTTCTCTCCTGGCAGCAAAGCATGAGGCAGCCAGTTCAGAGTGGGGACTGTAGTCATCATCATCACTGAGGTATTGTGAACCAGGAAAGAGATATGATCTGTTTCAACACAGCACAGTGCTCAAGCACCCTTGATAAATGTTGACTGTCATTGTCATTGTTGATGTTTTGGTGATTATTATTGATGCTGGGTGGCTTCTTCCTGAGATCGGGGCAGATACCCAGCTGTCCTGTCCCTTGGTGTTCTTATCAGGGTCCTTCCCTAAGTCTGCAGCTAAGGCATCTGCCAGGGCTGGGGTCTCATCTGAAGACTCAACTGGGGAAGGGCGCACTTTGAAGCTCACCTCGTTGTTGGCAGTACTAGGTTTCCCAATTGTTGAAATACTTCCTTATTACTGTGGAAACAGCCAGTGCCCCAGGTACCTTTTACAATGAACTGTCTGGGGCTCTCTTGTGATCTGAGCACTAAAGGGGTCCCTGGGCCTCTGCCTGTTGGATGATGCCCTTGTCAGACTGGTTATCTATTTTGAATATCATCTCTTCTTGCAGTGCTTGGGAACCAGGGGGCTATGCCCTTTCCCTCTTGCAGTTCCTTGCATCCTGGTCCTGGGAAAGTGTGCTTAACACAGCAGAGATACTGTTATCTGGGCTGGGTTTTACCCATCGCTGCTGGTACAGGATGCTGGCTCGGGCCTAGTGCCCTCAGTGGATGGAGCGCTCTGCACAGCTGCAAAGCACTGTTCCTGCCCCAAGGGACTGAACTCCAGTACCACCTGCCTCTCAACCAGACAGCCTGTTTATGGCCTCTGCAGAGCAGGTCTACTTTCTGAGCATCCTGGCTGTCTGGTGCTCTGCCATCTCCTCCCTGAAGTGGCCAGTTTTTCTTGCCCTTGGTTTTAGCATCTGACTCATATAACTCCCCTCCCCTCCTTTGTCTCTTTTTGCCAGGGGTCACGGGCATCAGCGGTCCAGGGAAGGAAGCAAAGCAAATGGAGAATGGCATGCTGGTGACAGACAGTGCGGGGAAGCAACTACAGAAGTAAGTGGGTGGAGGTGGCAAGTATCCTTGTGTTTGATTATAGAGGACTTCCTTAGATCCCTGGGGATTTATAGCATGTGCAGTATGTTAACCATGCTAGATTTTAAAAACTGGCCAAGTTGGCTGGGCATGGTGGCTCACACCTGTAATCTCAGCACTTTCGGAGGCTGAGGTGGGTGGATCACCTGAGGATAGGAGTTCAAGACCAGTCTGTCCAACATGGTGAAACCCTGTCTCTACTAAAGATAGAAAAATTAGCCAGGCATGGTGGCAGGTGCCTGTAAATTCTAGCTACTCGGAAGGCTGAGGCATGAGAATCATTTGAACCCAGGAAGCAGAGGTTGCAATGAGCTGAGATTGCACCATGGCACTCGAGCCTGGACAACAGAGTGAGACTCCATCTCAAAAAACAAAAGCAAAAAACAGCAAAAGAACAACAACAGACATTGACAAAGAGCCTAAACATACCAGACCTTGGGGATTTGAGAAAGGATGGTGGACCTGCAGTTGCTATAGGGGTCAGAAGAGGGCAAAGACAATGTGGCCTAGCACTGTGCTTTGGTACATGTCACTTTTGCCATTGTTATCATCTTATACAGCTTGCATTCTAGTGGGAGATTCCAGACAGTGCATGAGCGCAGAAGGATGTAAGATTTTCGTCCGAAGTGCTAGCTTGGATTTGTGAAGCCCTAGGTCATGAAGCAGGAAGCCCCAGCTGCCCACCTGAATTCTAGATTTCATCCAGAGTTGGTTCTGATTCTTTCCTCTGCTGCTCCCTGAAAACCCACACTTGCTTTTGGATTTGAACGCCACTTCCACCTTACTTGGCCTTAACCAAAGACCTTTGCACAGATCTCATGGGCAAGGAAAGGTTACCCACCCCTAGGCCCTAGATCAAAGAGGGGAGGTGCTGGAGGTTCATTTGGTTTTCAGGAAGTGTTTTCAGGACACAGTTTTGGGGGTGCAGTGATGAATCACATGGGGCTCTTAACCTCAGGTAGTTTGTAATCTTGTTCAGTAGATAATTAGGTAGAGGAAGGCATAGAAAGTTCCATGGCAAAGAACCACATCTGTGTTTTGCATGGCCTCCATAATTTCTTTTTTCTTTTTTTTTTTTTTTGAGATGGAGTCTCCCTCCGTTGCTCAGACTGCAGTTCAGTGTTCAGTGGCACCAACTC